GAGTGTCATCCCATACACCAAAAGGTGGTGAAGTTTGACTCCTAGTTAGGCTTTACGGGAAGCAACTGACCAATGTTTTTCTCTCTCTCTCTTTCTCTAAGCAACTATTTCTCTCTCTCTCATTCAATGAAAAACGTATCACTTGGTGAGGATTTTACAAAAAAATCATTTTACTTACTAAAATATTTTTGCCATTCTTTAAAAAAAAATCGATGCTCATTGTATGATATTTAAAAACCAGCCAAGCAGCCCTAGCCAGTTAGGCTCAGTGGATAGATCATTGACCTGCAGACTGATGGGTCCCAGGTTCCATTCCGGTCAAGGGCGTGTATCTTGGTTGCAGATTCCTGGCCCTGGTCGGGGTGCATGTGGGAGGCAACCAATCGATGTGTCTCTCTCACATTGATGTTTCTCTCTCTCTGTCTCTCCTTCTCCCTTCCACTCTCTCTAAAAATCAATGCAAAAATATCCTCGGGTGAGGACTAAAAAAAAAAAAAAAGATGAAAAAAATAGACAAGCAGAAAAAAATCCTTAATTCCAGTATGGAGGAATAACAAGTTGGTGAATAACTTTCCAATTTTTCCATGTATATATTGACTTCTTGAAAGACCCACAATGCAAATATTGACTGTCATTTTGTTCTTAATATGGCATAAAATGTTTGTTTTATTTTTAAATAACTTATAAACATTTGATAACTAATCTTGTAATGCAGAATCTTGCTATAAAAGCATCTCACTATTATCCATAGATTCAGTTCATTCTCTTTAAAATGAGCTTACAGGTATTACTCTGTTTTTGTAACTGAAAAGCCTATACAAACAGGATATTCTTAGTTCTTATCCTCTTCTCTTTCACTGATAAAATTCTGTGAAGGCATTACACATATACAAACTCTCCAGATGTTCCACTGGATGCTAATCTTCAGATGCCGCCAAGGCCTCAGAACCCACAGGCTGTGACACATCAGATGAAGGACTCTCTCCAGAGAGGTTAGATGAAAGCCACACAAATGACATAAGCAAAATCTGCCCTGGGTCAAATGTTAACTGCACCCAGAAAAATATGTTATCAAGTGTAACCTGCCCTCATAACCCCTGGGTAGCAGCTGAAGGGAAGATCATGTTCTTAGCTTAGTTTACTCACTTGAGCTATTTATGTGGTTATGATGATGCTGTTCCCAAGAATCTGTCTTGTTACTTTAGACTTTGTACCATCATCCTTGAGGCAGAATCCAGGGACTTCTTAAGCAATGAAATGTTTGCAGAATCTAGATGGCTTCCCTAAAATTGGTACTTAATTTCTTCAAACTGACTATTGATTCATGTAACTATGTAAGCATTCCTGTTTTTCTTTAGTGTTACCACTGCAAAAATTCTACAGCATCCAAACCATAATATATAAAAAGAGTACTTTTCTCCACAAAAGGGCTACCAGGATATTATGAATCTTTAAGAACAAACACAAGTTCATTCATTTCTCTTCACATATACATATATCTACATAGGGTCAATTTGTGCCAATGTAACTGGCATAGAAAGCATTTCTGTGATGTTCACTACTATAAATCTGAAGCAGAGTATGTGTAAATATTTTAACTTAGCTCTTTATCCCTAATAGAAGTAATAGATCTCCTCTTCAAAAATTAAATTCAGAGAAGTATAAAAAAAGAAAAAAAATAATCAACCACAATCCTACTGACCAGAGAGGGGTTAGCCCCTCTTAATATACTGGCAGACTACTTCACAGTCACATCTCCAGGTAGTATAGTGCTTTATTTTAACCTTTACATAATACATGGAGATGACAATTTCTGCTGCATAAACATGGAAGAAATGATACACTGAACCAAAAGCATCAACTACAAAAATATTTTAAAAATTAGAAAAAGGCATTTCATAGCCACACTTGGGTAGTATTGAGTAGTCATTTCCAGCTAACTATTTCATACAAGGTCTCTGAACCAACTGGACCCTGGCTTTTTGTTAAAATGAATCAATACTCTCAAAACCTGATTTAAGATGTGGCTAGGAATTGCGAAATTTACTGAAAACTTTAAAAACTTTAAAAACAAAATAGGCCGAAACTGGTTTGGCTCAGTGGATAGAGCGTCGGCTTGCGGACTGAAAGGTCCCAGGTTCGATTCTGGTCAAGGGCATGTACCTGGGTTGCGGGCACGCCCCCAGTGGGAGATGTGCAGGAGGCAGCTGATCGATGTTTCTCTCTCATCGATGTTTCTAACTCTCTATCTCTCTCCCTTCCTCTCTGTAAAAAAATCAATAAAATATATTTAAAAAAAAATAAAATAAAAAAATAAAAACAAAATAGGAAAAGATAAAATCAAGCAAACATCACAAGTTTTTCTGATTATTGGACCCAATAATCAGAAGTAGCAGGATCAAGTCAAAGGTATTAAATAAGGTACTTTTAAGTTATGTTTCATGTAAAACATGAAATCAGGTCTATCTTTTTAAAATATTGAGTGCTTCTTAGTTTTATATAGAGAGTTGGGCAAAAGTAGGTTTATAGTTGTGAGTACACGAAACAGTTTATTCTTGTATTACTAATTAATTACTGTATTCTTTTTGATATGAAGAAGTATAAACCTACTTTTGTCCCACCCTGTATATAAGTTTTCTAATAGTTTTGTATATATATGCATACATGTGTGTATATACGTGTACATACACACACACACACACACGCTAGAAGATTTAACTTCACACCTGTCAGCTAGTCGTTTTCTTTTTCCTCATTGGTTTTGAGCTAAGGATTCAGGTGATGCTGACTGAACTCCATTACCAGGATAGTTTACAAAAAGCCTTCTCCTACATGCATTCCTTCCCCTCTCCCCTTTAAGAATATGGGTATCACACTGAATATGCATTGTGACTTTCCTCCCCAACACAGCTAACTTTGTTATGAAAAACTACTTATGACCAACTGCTTAAATAAGTACAAAATATAAATGTATATAAATCTTTATCAAATCATTCTTTTCAAGTTTTTCAATTTTCTGCTATTAGAAATAGCAGAAATAATTTGTTAATGAACACATTTGCAGGATGGCAGTTTTTGAAGATATTAGGTAAAATTAATGATATTTTGCTGCTAATGGGATCAAATCTTTAAAAATGCCAACAGGCACTGAAACAAAGTTAATTATCTATAACTTTGCTTTTATAATTGTGGCTTTCCTAAGCTAATTTAGTGGTTTCCTGTGAGAAGCTGGGTGAAATGTGGAAAATGTATTTTTCTTCTTGAAAAGACCAAAAAAAAAAACCCCCAAACGAACAACAAACCAAAAAAACTAACTATCATAATTATCAAGACCCATGCTATAGCAGCTTAACAGTTTTCACTTACTATTTCTCCTAGTAGGACCACATTTTCTCCTCTGACCACAAAAATCCCTCGAGGAATATCACCGTATTTTTTGCCCACATGAATACGCTCCACAGTCTGATGTAGCACTAAATTAGCTATAAGTGTATAGGGAAAAAACAAAGATATTCAGTTTAAATTACTGGGTAAAGGTCTATAACTCAGTTATTTTGAGTAAAAAAGATTTAATTAAACATGATTGCAAAACTTTCTGACTTTAGGAAAAACTAAAATTTCAAACACAATCTCCTATTTCTTTACAACACACCACTTAAGAGATGTTTAACCAATTACAAACTGAGAGAGTATCTAGGATTATGTTGCACTAATACATGAGTGATGGTGGGGAAAAGTTTAAAAAAATTAAATTCATTTATCAGTTAACTGTTAAAATGAACATGGCTGTAAGAAAATATAAATGAGTAGGGCACTTGGAAGACTCTAAACAACTGCAAAGATTAAAACTCTCGTTTTTTCTATGTTGTGGGGTGTGTGCATGTGATGAGTTACCAAAATTTAACTTTGTTTCAGTACTTAGGATTTACTTAACCCAATACAAGCATCCATGAATTATGATACAGCAAAAACTCATTTTTTCATGTTGTCAGATAACCCATACCTGGTAATCTGAGAGTAGTCAGTATTTATTACTTTTCGCTCAAAGTAGTCTGATGAATTTGACTTAAGATTTAGAACCCGGCCCAGTTGGTGTGGTTCAGTGGTTGAGTGACGACCCATGATCTGGTTCAATTCCCAATCAAGGCACATGCCTGGGTTGTGGGCTTAATCCCCATTAGGGAGTGTGCAGGAGGCAGCCGATCGATGTCTCTCTCATTGATGTTTTTATCCCTCTCCTCTAAAATCAATAAAAATGTATTTTAAAAAAAGATTTAGAACTCCCAATATGTTAAGAATTATTTTTTTCTTTGCCTTATTTGAAGAAAGCAGGTATCTATATTCTTTAACTTCTATAACTCTTATAAGTGTTTCAATTACATTGTTATTTTCCTCATGCCCAAATCCACTGACCTAGAAGATGTCCAACAAATGTTTATATGAACTAAGAAGTTTCTTGAAACAAAAGCAAACATAGATCTCTTTTGAAAAATGCAAGATGCAAAACAAAGACTGAGATTCTTGAGTCGGTTGTATCCTTAAGTGAAAAATCTTGAGCTTAATGTTGGGGTCCCTAACAAGCTTCAGAAAGTGCCTTCTATCCAATTTTCATTGGATGGGGGGATTGCCTTCAGTGCAGGAACTGCTTTGAAGAGCAGTCGCACCCAAGCCAATGTACAACTGAGCAGCTTTTTCAGCGGACTGAGTTTATTTCTATCTTTTGGCTCCCTCTAATGGGGAAAATAAAAACAATAGTCCAAGACATTATAATCTTATGTTCTAGTGAAAACCAGTTTTAGAAATATAAGCTTGAAAATACAAGCTTTTGAATTATCTTGTCATAATTTAGGAAACAATGATGTAATGACTCAGGACAGTATTCCATTATGCCAGACACATGAAAAAGTTGCAGATAAATGCCTTACAATATGAAATAACAAAAATACGATCGGCAGCTCTTATTATCCAGAGTATAAGAGAAGTCTATAGCTGATACATACCAAATTGGTCAATGCTCCTCAAAAAGCCTATAAGTGTCCTTCCATCTCGCAGCAGGACCAAGTGCTTTTCTGGGAACAGGAAAAAAGATCTTTAAAAAATGAAACCTGTTAGCTTCAGTGAGCTTACAGGGTAACAATAAATATAAAGTTGTTAGTTTAAGTTCTACCACTTCCTCTTCCAATGTATTTAAGTTGGAGTTCATTAAGAAATTGGAGGACCAAGTTAGCCTGGGGTTTAGATTAAAACAGCAATTTTCAACCAGTGTGCCCCAGGAATTCTATTGATTTTTTTTTTTTTAAATATATTTTATTGATTTTATACAGAGAGGAAGGAAGAGAGATAGAGAGTTAGAAACATCAATGGGAGAGAAACATCGATCAGCCGCCTCCTGCACATCTCCTACTGGGGATGTGCCCGCAACCCAGGTACATGCCCTTGACCGGAATCGAACCTGGGACCTTTCAGTCCGCAGGCCGACGCTCTATCCACTGAGCCAAACCGGTTTCGGCAGATTTTTTTTTTTTTTTTTTTTTTTTTAAGACAGAAAAAAAAAGGAGAGAGAGAAAGAGATAGAAATATCAATGTGAGGTCAAGACGGCCCTGGTGAGGACGAAACGGCCCTGGTGAGGTTGGGACAGATAATGGGGACCAGTATAGACAGATGAACAGGGGTAGATACAGAGGCAGAGCAGCACTGAACAGACTGTCAAACTACAGTGGGAAGCCTGGGGAGGGTTTGGGGTGGGGGTGGGGGGTTAAGAGATCAACCAAAGGACTTATATGCATGCAAATAAGAATAGCCAATGGACACAAGACACTAGGGCAGGGGTGGGCAAACTTTTTGACTCGAGTGCCACAATGGGTTCTTAAACTGGACCGGAGGGCCGGAACAAAAGCATGGATGGAGTGTTTGTGTGAACTAATATAAATTCAAAGTAAACATCATTACATAAAAGGGTAGAGTCATTTTTTTTTTTTTTTAGTTTTATTCATTTCAAACAGGCCGGATCTAGCCCACGGGCCGTAGTTTGCCCACGGCTGCACTAGGGGGTAGGGAACGGGGGAATGTCAAGGGGGGGGGGGGGGGGGAGGAGACATATGTAATACTCTGTAATACTTCAAGCAATAAAAATTATTAAAAAAAAAAAATATCAATGTGAGAGCGAAACACGGATTGGCTGCCTCCTACATACCCCCTACCAGGAATCGAGCCCGCAACCTGAGCATGTGCCCTGAACGGAATCGAACTAGTGAACCAGTTATCTCTTAGTGCAATACCTGACTATTTAGACCAGCGGTTCTCAACCTGTGGGTCGTGACCCCTTTGGGGGTCGAACGACCCTTTCACAGGGGTCGCCTAAGACCATCGGAAAACACATATATAATTACATATTGTTTTTGTGATTAATCACTATGCTTTAATTATGTTTAATTTGTAACAATGAAAATATATCCTGCATATCAGATATTGACATTACTTCATAACAGTAGCAAAATTACAGTTATGAAGTAGCAACGAAAATAATTTTATGGTTGGGGGTCACCACAACATGAGGAGAACTGTATTAAAGGGTGACAGCATTAGGAAGGTTGAGAACCACTGCCTTAGACTGTCAAATAAAAAAGGGACAATAGCCAACACAATAGCTGTCTGCTGTGAATGAATCAAAATCGTGCCTTTTTTTGGTCAGATGGGCAAAAACATATTTTTTGGTGTGCCACAGGCTTTTAGTAATTAGTTTATGTGTGCCATGAAATGAAAAAGGTTGAAAATCACTGAATTAAGAGAATCAGAGTAGTGTGGCAGAGTGGAAAAGGGACTGGATGAGTAGCCAGAAAGCCTGACTGGTCTAGATACGCATGTTTGAGTTACTCCTCCATGTCTACCTAGTGTTATGTCAGTTTCTATATCTGCAAATTGAGTTTAGTCTGCATGATCTTTGTGATCTTAATTCTAGGATTGTTTCCCCCCATGAACTTAGAAAAGTTTCTATTTCACATTTTGGAATTATGAATCAGGGGAGGTTTTAAATAAAAACAATGTCCCAGACATGTAAAAGGAGGATGCTGATAATAAGCTAGAGCAAAAATACAATAATATTTACTGAGTGCTATGTACTGTTCTGGGGCCTAGATATACATTAGAGAATAAGACTCAAGAAGTAACCAACCTTATGAACTTATATTCCTGGTGGAGGAAGGCAAACAAAATAACCTATTATGATTAGTACAAAGGTATAATATGTAAGATAGAAAGGTATATGATGAAGGGAGGGAATGTAGCTACGGAAGAGAGTGGCTAGAGGATGGCCAGGGAAAATCTCTCTGAAGAGGTGACTTAGAGCTGACTCTGAAGAATGATGATAAACCAGCCACTAGAATAGCTAGCAAAGTTCATTCATTTGCTGTTTTAATACCACACATAAAGTACCGTCTAGGTGTAGGACAGAGGAAAAGGCAGAAATTCTTCCCTGAAATAATTTACAACTGAGTTCCACAAGACAATACATCTTAATTATATGAGACTGAGAGAAACTCAGTATGTAGCTGGAGTATGGTATCTGGATTGGTCCTTGAAAAGTAGGTAATTTTTGGCCTTGGGAATAGTGACAGGAAAGGGGAGGGAAATCTGTAATTAGGCAGGAGAAAAGGGCAATGTAACCATATGTGTGGTGAAAAGTTGAGGGTGTGGCCGAAACCGGTTTGGCTCAGTGGATAGAGCGTCGGCCTGCGGACTGAAAGGTCCCAGGTTCGATTCCGGTCGAGGGCATGTACCTTGGTTGCAGGCACATCCCCAGTAGGGAGTGTGCAGGAGGCAGCTGATCGATGTTTCTCTCTCATTGATGTTTCTAACTCTCTATCTCTCTCCCTTCCTCTCTGTAAAAAATCAATAAAATATATTAAAAAAAAAAAAAGTTGAGGGTGTGAAGGGAAATAACAGTAAACAATGTCAAAAAGAACTGGGAACAGGTCGATTTTGGGAATAAAAAAACACTGAAGACTGAACTGGCAAAAAAGGGAGAGTGACTGAGGCTATTCCCGGAGTCTGAGGCATAAAGAAGAGACCTGAACCAAGGTAGAGAGGAGAAGGGAGAGACGAGAGAACTAAGACTGTGCAGGTATAAGTAACAGAGCTAACTGAGAGTGTATATGTGGGTACGTGTGAGAAAGTGTGGTGCTGAAGAGATAAAGAACACGTAGGCATTTTGAGTTGTCATGGCAGGGAGGACCAGTTACCAAAAGTTTGTAATTCTGAAGTGCTATCAGGACACTTATATAGAAGTGTCAAGACAGTTGGAAATGTAAGACTGGAATGGCAAAGAGGTCAGAAATAGAGGGAGAGAGATTTTGGATAAGGCCACAGATAGGTGATATAATTATTAAAGTCCAGGAGATCTCCTACAGACTTAAAAAAAGAAGCAAGCCAAACAGAGAGGTGATATAATATTAAAGTCCCCGAGATTTCCTAGAGACTTAAAGAAAGAAGCAGGCCAAAGAGGGAACCCAAGAGACAATCTATTTTAAGGAACATAAGAGTTGAAATAAGAAAATCAAGTGCCAGTGTCAGAGAAATGAAGAACACAGATTAAGAGTCTAGTATCACAATGTATAGTACCACAATGCTGCAGAGGGGAAGGGGAAACTCAGGAGTGCATTAGACCGATGCCTTTAAAGATTGGAGCTGCAGGAGTGTGATGACAACAAAAATCAATTATGGGGTAACAGGTGGTCTATTGCAGATGGCCTGAAAGAGTCAAAATGGAGACGGCTCAAGTGGTTTGGGGGTAAGGATAGAAAAAATGGGATGGAAGTTTAATGGAGAGACACAACTGGAAAAAAAAAACACACGATAAGGACAGAATAGAACATAAATGAAGGGAAAAATCCAGGGAGAAAAAGGATATTAATGATAGAAGGTTCCAGAAGTAGTGGGAGAAAAGACATAAATTGAGAGGGAGGAATACTTCCCACTCAAATGAAAGGACTGGTGAAAATGCTAGAGAGACTAAGGTGAGAGGAGGAAAGGGGGGGGGGGGCGTGAAAGGCACATATGAAATGGTTTTTAATTTTTCAGTAGAGGAAGCTTGGAATCTACAAAAAAGAGGTTAGAAGGCTTGAGAACAAAAATTATTATTTTGCCAAAACCGGTTTGGCTCAGTGGATAGAGCGTCGGCCTATGGACTGAAGGGTCCCAGGTTCGATTCCGGTCAAGGGCATGTACCTGGGTTGCGGGCACATTCCCAGTAGGAGATGTGCAGGAGGCGGCTGATTGATGTTTCTCTCTCATCGATGTTTCTGACTCTCTGTCTCTCTCCCTTCCTCTCTGTAAAAAATCAATAAAATATATTTAAAAAAAATATTATTTTAAAGATTTTTAAAATTGATTTTTAAATATATTTTTTTATTGATTTTTTACAGAGAGGAAGAGAGAGGGATAGAGAGTTAGAAACATCGATCAGCTGCCTCTTGCACATTCCCCACTGGGGATGTGCCTGCAACCAAGGTACATGCCCTTGACCGGAATCGAACCTGTGACCCTTGAGTCCGCAGGCCGACGCTCTATCCACTGAGCCAAACCGGCTAGGGCATTTTTTTTTTTTTTAATTGATTTTTAGAGAAAGAGGGGGAGGGGAAGGGGGAGAGAGAGAGAGAGAGAAACATCCATGTGAGAGTGAAGCATCCATTGGCTGCCTCCTGCACGCTCCCTACTGGGGATCCAGCCCGAAACATGGGCATGTGCTGTGACCAGGAATCGAACTAGCAACCTTCCAGTGCACAGGATGTAGCCCAACCAACTGAACCCACACCAGCAAAGAGCCACAAATTATTTTTAGTAAAAATACAGAGTGTGTTAGGGCCTGAAATAATTCAGATATACACAAGAGAGGTGAGGGCAAAAGGGCATCCACAGACAGCTAAAACTTAAGTTTTCATTATATTACAGATAGATTTGTACAGTGGTTATTTATATGAATTTGGTCCAATTTATCCTGCATTTCCCTTCAATAGCAAAATCACTAATTTAGATTTAAAAAATAATTTCAGACAATAAAAAAGTTTAGTTATACATTCATTCTTTAATTTGCACACATAGTAACTGCAGAGACTTGTAACTTGTTTGGAACTATGTGTAACCATTTTGCAGCAATTGCAAGTTAATGAGACAAATCACAGGATTTAAACGATTAGAAAAGTGTTACTTGAGGAATAATTCACAGATGAGAGTTTAGCAGAAGGAAAGACGGGACAACTGTAACTGGCTCCTCTTTTGTACAGGACTGGGCTCCTCTTCGGGACAATGACGAGGAATAGGGAGGCCTTCTTAGTAAAAGCAAAAAGAAAACGGCCCTGACCGGTTTGGCTCAGTAGATGGAGTGTCGGCCTGCGGACTGAAGGGTCCCAGGTTCGATTCCGGTCAAGGGCACGTACCTTGGTTGCGGGCACATCCTCAGTAGGGGGTGTTCAGGAGGCAGCTGATCGATGTTTCTAACTCTCTATCCCTCTCTCTTCCTCTCTGTAAAAAATCAATAAAATATATTTTTTAAAAAAAGCAAAAGAAAACGGTCTAACGGGGTGGGGATGGGAAGAAGTTTCAAGTGACTCAGCCTTTCCACAAAAGTCAGTCAATACCTTGTCCGGCAATGGTCTCTTCTATCACAACCTGCAAGTGCTGAAGATCCTCGCGGTAAAATACTGCTAATGGCCACAGAGTTTATACAGAAAGCCTACGTTTACTGCCAATTAAATCCAGATGCTGTTTCTTAATAGTTTCATTTCTTGAATCCTTTCTCTAAGTATTTGCACCAGTAACAACCTGGAACTTCGAAATATCGCAGAGGAAGACAGCTGACTGGGCGGGGGCAGATTTCCCGTTTGGTCCCCGGCAGCGCGTCCCGCGGGAGGAGGACGGAACTGTCCAGCGTGGGGCTGAGCAGCCGGGGAACTGGGCTGCGAGGAGCAGCACAGACCTAACCGGGGGGCTAGGAGGTGGGCAAACGGAGCGTCCCCGAGGAGGACGTCACCGCCAAACACCGGAACGGCTAAGCACACACTGCCCTCCGCCCTACACTCAGGCTACGAGCTTCCTCGTCGGGGAGGAGGGGGCTCACCCAGACTTCACCCGAAGGAGATGAGCAACTCACTGTCGATGTCCTCGATGAGGCTGGCGGTGCCGGGCATATAGTTCATGTTGAGCTGAGATAAGGCTGCAACGTAAAGCGGCGAAGGGCCCGCGCGTCCAACACCTCCTTCCTCCTACCGTGGTCGCCGCCTCGGCGGGACGGGGACGGGGACCCAGACGGGGACCCGCACTTCTGCCCCGGCTTTCAGCCGCCGGGGCACGCCGGAAGCTCCTCCATATTATCCCTACCCACTTCCGGTACCACGTGCTGTCTTCAGGAAGAGGCGGGGCCATCGTGCGGTCCTGGGACACCCTTTCCCCACCCTTGAAGAGAGGGGAAAAGGAATCTAGATGGCACAGGCGGAGGGAAAATGAATTCTCCTTTCTAAGGAACACGGTGCTGCTCCTCGTCTTCCTGATCCCTCGATTCCCAGAGTCACAGAGATCCATCCCTCAACCCTCCGGACTCGGGAGCCGAAGGGGCGGGACTTGGCCTGGGATTGGCTATTGTTGTCCGACCCCCTTCACTGCTGTCCATTCACGCTCGCTGGCTGGCGCCTGCGCAGTGGGCCGGCTGTGGGGGGCGGGAAGCTCCTAGGGGCAGTAGAGCCCATGTCGGCCCTAAGGCGCTCGGGCTATGGCCCCAGTGATGGTTCGTCTTATGGCCGCTACTACGGGCCTGGGGGTGGAGATGTGCCGGTGCACCCACCTCCACCCTTATATCCTCCTCGTCCTGAACCTCCCCAGCCTCCCATTTCCTGGCGGGTGCGCGGGGGCGGCCCGGCGGAGACCACCTGGCCGGGAGAAGGTGGAGGAGGCGATGGCTACTATCCCTCTGGAGGCACCTGGACGGAGCCGGGTCGAGCTGGGGGAAGCCACCAGGTAAGCTTTGTGCCATTTGTCCTAGGGGTTCCTTTGGGGGTGAGGGCCGTGGAGATAGATATACCTCCAGAGTTCGTCATGGATCGGGTTTCATATTTGTTTACCTTTTGGGGAAGTATGTAGCGATAAGAGACTGGGATATGCTCGTGTTTTCTTTGCCCCTCCTTTTCCACTTCGATCATAATAAATGTGTATTACCATTAAAAAGGGGAAAAAGATCCTGCGCTGACTTGCTAAGCTAAATAGAGGATGCGGGATGTCTCGCCTGGGAGCGATGCGGGGCTGAAGTGACCCAGCTCTGCTGGTCGAGCTCGCAATTTATCCTGCGTGGCTGTCAGGCCGGCTCCCGCGCAGGGAGGTGGCTGCAGCCCCCGCCGCCTGCCAGCGGCCCCTCCCGCGCGGGGAGGGATCTGGGCATTTAGCCTTTGCCCGGAATGCTCTGCCCAGGATTGAATCACGAATAATCGGTGTTGGAAAACACTTGCGTGTGCGTGTGTGTGTGTGTGTGTGGGGGGGGGGGGGTATGTTATTTAATCTTCACGGCAGCTGCAACATAAATGTTATTGCACACAGCATCCCTATTTTACGATTAAAGAACGGTTGGCTCTCAGAAGTCAACTCGTTTGCTCAGTATAATCGGACCTATGCCATTTTATTTCTTGTGTTTCTGCCAGAAAGCTACAGTACTTATGCTATGTTAATGCAGTATTCGTCCTAGACTCGAATTCTCATCATATGGTGTGGGACACATCTCTCCTTTCGTTTAGGAATTATAACATCCTCATTGTTGGAAGATGTGACAGTGAAATTCCCATACATTGCTGATGGGGATGTAAAATGGTTCAGTGCTTTGGAAAATGGTCTGGCAGTTGCTCCAAATGTTAAGCGTAGAGCTAGCATATTACTCAGCAAGTCTGCTCTTAGAGACATATCCAAGAGAACTGAAAACATATGTCCACATAAAAACTTGTACACGTATATTCAAATTCCAAGTAGCCAAAAAGTGGAAATAATTCAAATGCCTATCAACTGATGAATAGATAAAATATGGAATATTCATACAATGGAATTATTTAGCCATAGAAAGGAAAGAAGTACTGATACATAACATCCTGCAACATGGATGAACCTGGAAAACCTCCTGCTACATGAACGAAGCCAGTTGGAAAGATCACATATTTTATGTTGCATTTATGTGAAATGTCCAGATAGGCAAATCTATAAAGATAGGAAGCTTAGTGGTTGCCAGAGTCTGGGGGACTGGGGACATTGGGGGTGGTAGATAAAGGGTATGGTTTCTTTTGGGGGGATGATGAAAATATTCTGGAATTAGATTGTGATGATGATTGCACAACTTTGACTATACTAAAAACCATTGAGGCCAGGCCGGTGTTGCTCGCAGCGGTTACAGCGCTGGCCCGCTCCCAAAGGTTAGAGGGTTCGATTCTCCCTCAAGAACACATACCTGCGTTGCAGGTTCAGTCCTCGGCCTGGTGCAGGTGCATGTGCATACGGGAGACTACCAGTCAATGTATCTCTCTCACATCTATGTTTTCTTTTTTTTTTTTTTTTTAAACCTGCTTGCTATACTTTCAAGCAAGCAGGTTGCGTTTGTTTTGAGTTATTTTGTTTGTTTTTTATTTTTAATATATTTTATTGATTTTTTACAGAGAGGAAGGGAGAGAGATAGAGAGTTAGAAACATCTATGAGAGAGAAACATCGATCAGCTGCCTCCTGCACATCTCCTACTGGGGATGTGCCCGCAACCCAGGTACATGCCCTTGACCGGAATCGAACCTGGGACCTTTCAGTCCGCAAGCCGACGCTCTATCCACTGAGCCAAACCGGTTTTGGCCACATCTATGTTTTCTCTCCCTCTCTGTCTCTCCCTCTCTCCTCCTCCCTCCCTTTTATTCTTTAAAAATCAATGGAAAAAAATCCTTGGGTGAATATTAACCAAAATAAATAAGTAAATAAAATAAAACACCATTGGATTGTGTTTTAACGGGTGGGTTTTACCTGGTCTTGCTTGACAAAGTCACATATGACAAGCTCTGTAAGGAAGTTCTTAACTACGAGCTTATAACCCCAGCTGTGGTCTCTGAGAGGCTGAAGATTCGCGGCTCCTTGGCCAGGGCAGCCCTTCAGGAGCTCCTTAGTAAAGGACTTATTAAACTAGTCTCAAACACAGAGCTCAAGTGATTTAACAGAAACACCCCAGCTGCTGGAGAAGATGCATGAACAACAGATCTGACCAGCTGTACATTTTGAAAAATAAACATTTATTAAATTAAAAAAAAGAAGGGTGGGTTTTATAGTATGTTATATCTTAAAAATTGTGTGAGAAAAAAACATGTAGTAGTGAAAGGTTAATTGTGAAGAAGGGTCTGTATTTGCTCTGTCTAAATCTGGAATAAGTAGCCTGTGAGACTTTAATCCCATGGTAGAGTGATGAAACGCTCAGCCTATAAATAGGCAAACTAGATGGAAGATCAATTGAAGGGAAAGAGGAGAGGAGAAGTCTTTTTTTCTCTTTAATATATTTTTATTGATTTCAGAGAAGAAGGGAGAGAGTGATAGAAAGAAAAATCAATGATGAGAGAGAATCATTGATTGGCTGCCTCCTGCACGCCCCACACTGGGGATTGAGCCCACAACCCGGGCATGTGCCCTGCCTAGGAGTCGAACCGTGACCTCCTGGTTCATAGGTCAGCCACTGAGCCACGCCAGCTGGGTGAGAGAAGTCTTAAACTGAAGACTTCTATGTGGGCTTGTTGTATTACCAAAACAAAAGTGTGTTAGATGCTCAATAAGTACTTGTTAATTGAAAAAAATTTTTAGAAAGTGTGTTTTCAGAGTAAGGTTACAGAAGTTAAGATTTTTAATACTGCAGAGGCAGTTGTAAGCCATGGTTGGAGCATAGGCGTGCACACAGGGTGGGTGAAGGTGCTGGAGTACTTGAATGTAAAGCTGGAATGTGTAATGGTCATTTGTAAACCATTTCAAGAGCTTATCTTTCTGGTTGATGTTCATGAAACTTGAAAAGTATAGGATTGTAATTTATGCAGCAATAGAAAATTAATGCAAAAGATATGCATGCTGTCATGGATGTTGCAAATGATTCTTTCCAAATTCCTTATTTGTCTTTTAACTTTATTTTGGTTTGGACATATAAGTTTTACATTTACCTATAATCAAATATGTTAAACAAACAAACAAAAGGTATTAGGGGCCCTTTAAAACCTTATTACTCGCCTGGCCAGTGTGGCTCGATGGTGGTTGAGCGTTGACCACAGTTCGACTCCTGGTCAGGGCACATGCCCAGATTGTGGGCTCCATCCCTAGTTGGGGCGGGCGTTCAGGAAGCAGCTGATCAATGATTCTTTCTCATCATTGATGTTTCTATCTTTCTCTCCTCTCCCTTCGTCTCTGAAATAAAAATATTAAAAACCCACAAAAAAACCTTATTACTAAAAAAATTAAAAAAACGTGGTCCTTGGACCAGAGGCTTCAGTATTGCTTGGAGGTTGCTGGAAATGCAGAATCTCCTGCTCTAGATTTACTGCTGCAGTTTAGTAAGATACGCAGGTGATTTGTATGCACACTCATGTTTGAGAAGCATTACTCCGTGGAATTGAATATAGTAGTGAGATGATGTTGCACTAAACTACTACAAAGACCTGACTCTACCTTTACATATTTAAATATAGCTATACTTAGAGCTCTGTGGTTTGCTCCCTGAGCTAGTAGCATCTGCATTACCTAGGAGCTTGTTGGAAATGCTGTATCTCAGGCCCTGCCCCAGATGCACTGAATCAGAATGTGCATTTTACCAAGATCCCTAGATGATTTACATATTCTCCCAGAACAAGTCATCCAGAGAGAGTTTGTGAAAGCTGGAAGGCACAGATGAGATTACAACCTAATCTCAGAAGTGATATACCATCATATTGGTCATAGAGATCAACCCTGGCACAATGTGGGAAGCAAGTTCACAAGGGTATGAATACCAGGAGGCAGGGATCATGGGGGAGCTGCTTTGGAGGAGGATTATAATGGCAAGGAATGGAGAGACAGAGAGCTCAGTTAGGCTCCCAAAGTAGACCAGGAGAGAGGAACTTAAATGAATTTGAAACAATGTCTGAATGTGGTCAGGTTTTGTTTTTTTCCAACATTGTATTGTAAAAATTTTCAAACACACAGAAAAGTTGAAAGAATTATACAGGGAATACCTATATATCTAACACCTAGATTCTATAAATAGCATTTATTATATTTGCTTTATCACATCTATTTTATTTTTTTAAAATATATTTTATTGATTTTTTACAGAGAGGAAGGGAGAGGGATAGAGAGAAACATCGATGAGAGAGAAAC